AACCAGAGTCATAACTTACTTTATGAAACAGCAAGAGCATAAACGGTTAATCCAGCAGCCTTAATATTGGTTAATCTGTAAACTGCTTATCTTTGTGTTTGTGTCTTGGCCTCCTGGTCACTGGCGGTGTTTCATTCATCAGTTAATTGAGAAAATAATTGGCAGATCTGGATGGTTTTTCTCAAGCTTCTTTAATTAATTAATATGGCCAAGTGGAATATCCACTGCAGTCTTCTTGATAAAAGGATTAAAACGAAACAAAAGCACCGGCAGGATCCGCCCTGGAACTACAAATCTCCACTGGGCTGCACTAAGAAGAGAGGTAACTGGCTTATCCAGGTTACTGCAGGAATAACTCTGTGACGTCAGCTGTAACTTCCAGGTTAACTCAAAAGTTTCACCCCTGAGGTACGTCGTCACGGCAATGTACGCTCCACGTCTAAACCTAAATCTTGGATGTTTTCTCCTCTGTACATTTGGGAGATGTTGGATTGTGAGTCTCACTGCGGAGGACGAGGGAGTTCAGTGTCGTAGTTTACTCTGATGATGTTCTTTATGAAAGACATGAAGTCTCATCTGAGGGAATTCAGCATCTCTGCCAGCTTCTACATTTATTATGTTCCCATTTAAAGCTTTTTATGCAGTCGGAGGTCATTCACTGTATAGAAATACTTACATATAAACTGGGCCTGTATACAGAGCACTTTATTCCAGAGTGATTGGTGCGACTGACTTATTCTAACAGTAGCTTTACACTCACACAGGTTGACCTTCAGCCCCGCTGCTTTAGGGAGTGGATTTTAATTCAGGGCTTAAAGTTCTCAGGTGCCATGTCTGAGCAGTTTTAAATTCATATAATACTTCATTCAATACATTTGGACTTTTCAGGCTCACTTTCTTGCTTTTAATCCCCGTTAGTTAATTAAGTAAAGGGTCAGTTTCTGAGATATTTTAATTCACCACTTTAATTTTGGGAATTTACCGCAGTTGTATTCAATCACACTGAACACTCACTACCTCAGATTAACACCAACTCAACTAACTAACCTCTTAATCACCGTCGTCGAACCGTTTAACACCAGAGTACTTGCACAGAGTTCTCTAACAGATTGTCAACAAGGACTTTCCTTTATAACCTCGAGTTAAATCTGAGTTGGTTCATCTCTCCCTACATAGTACAACATCTCTCTGATGTAAGGAAACTGTGTCACAACAAATGTGATTTGGTATCATTGTGATTTTTATTGTTTTTTTCAGTGAAATTAAAATTGTGATGCAAAAATTATCATCCTCTGTTGTTGTGCAGCCCTAGTTCTGTCAGTAAGTCTGAATAACCAGGATAATGTAGGTGAAATAGATCTTTCATTGTTCTTTAATGTGTTTTCAAAAGCACATCATTAGATTACTGCTGGACAATAATATCACAATATTATAATTATATTCCCTATCACCTCACAACCAATCAGAAAAACTATTAGTTTCTAATAGTTGGTATTTGTAGTTGATATGATGTGATTGTATCATCAAACATTTCCACCGAAAGTCTTCTAATATTCTTGCTTTGGTGTCGTTACTAGTTTTTAAAAAGGGAATTTCAAAGTTTCTGTAAATAGCTCCCATCAGTAAATATTCACTTCTTTCATCTAGATCAATGTCAAAAGAATATTTAACTTAAATATTCTTTAATAAAGTTATTTATATCTATAATCAGTGAATTTTTCCCTCTAAAATCAATATTGACATCAATCAGACTAGTTTTTATATTAGAAATGAGGGAAGGCATGTTACATAAATGTTATCTTCACTTCAGAGACGTCTCCAGTTTTCAGTGTGATGTCTCCGTGCTTGGACACTGCAGGAGTGAAGCAAATAGTATGAATGAATAAATTGTGTTTGACTTTTCTATTAACAGGCACTTCCAGATGGACCCCCGCTGTCACTCAGCCTGCTCCGGCTTTTAAGGCCACAGCTGTACACAATGGGGAGTTCAAGGATATGAGCCTCGCTGATTTCAAGGGCAAATACCTGGTCCTCTTCTTCTACCCACTCGATTTGTGAGTTTATACACGGTGGCGTTCCCTGACTCTGATTTAAATATACGTAAAGGTACTCAAATATTTTTCGGTACCTCCACTGATGACCATGTCTCTCTGTTATATTGCAGCACCTTCGTCTGTCCAACAGAGATCATCTCATTCAGCGACAAGGCCAGTGAGTTCCACGACGTTAACTGTGAGGTGGTGGGAGTTTCTGTGGACTCGCACTTCACCCACCTGGCGTGGATCAACACTCCACGCAAGGTACTCGCCCTCCTTTTTAATGATTATTCAGTAGCAGACACGTTGTGCGAAGGTTCAATCTGTTATTTCATCCGTCCTTTGATGTGGACCATAAAGGTAGTAAATGACTGACCTGCCAGTGCTGTCTGAATGAATCTGAAACACATTGTTATTGACTGCATTAGCAGCAGTTATTGTGTCAGTGTTGATCTAACAGCTGTTATTTGATGCTGTTTTGTCAGACTGGAGGCTTGGGCAACATCCACATCCCCCTGCTATCTGACCTCAACAAGCAGATCTCTAGAGACTACGGGGTGCTGCTGGAGGGTCCGGGCATTGCACTGAGGTGGGTTCATTATGCAAATACCATTTTATACTTCACTTCACTATCCTGGGGTAAAAAATGGTGAACGGGACACCGCAGGGACGTAGCAAGGTCCTGTTTCATGGCAAAAAACAATCTGTGGTATCGGATCAACGCACAGGCACGTGTTCTGCCGATACCTGGTACTGCCGATACCTGGTACTGCCTATACGATACCAGGTACTGCCGATATGATAGATAGATAACTTTATTAATCGCACAATGGGGAAATTTACTTGTTACAGCAACATTTGAGTGAAATAAATACAGATATAAAAAACAGGAACATTTGCATACAGCAGGTCCAAGGTCTTATTGTCTCTGGTGGTGCATGTGACAAACTGGTGGAAGGTTGGGAGTGTGGACGAGAGAGAAAGAGTACCTGGTACTGTCAATACCTGGTACTTTTGGGCTATATCAGAGGAATTTCTGATTTTGGTACCTAAACAACTCTACGCTTTAATGCGAATGTTTAAATCTTAAAATGTCCTTTTCAACACAATTTACAGGTATATCATTATCTTGACTACATTCTGAGTTGTGTAGTTTATTTGCAGTATTATAACTTTCTGGTAAAATACAGAGAAGAAACAGAAAAGACAAAACAGTAGGTGTGATGTCCTTTAAGGGCTCGTCATTTAACGAGGGCTGCACGATATGGTAAAGACATCATATTGAGATTATTTTTGATGGATGATTCATGATCAGTGTTGAAATCATCATTTTTACATAAAAAATTTAATTGTCATTGGAAAAACCAATAAAATCATGATTTGAATGTTGGGGGGTCTTCAATCTGGAGAAAAGGTTTTGTAGACCAGGGAATCTCTGCAGCACTGCAGTACTTCATCTAATTTATGAATTGCAAAATATTGTACTTATGGTACAGATTTTGTGTTTTTATTGATTGTATGATAGTGTTATCATAGTATATTATACATTAATGTGGTCTTTAAAAACATACTTTGTAGAGAACCTTATAGCCATTGTTTATAAAGATGCTTGAGAACTTATTTTCATGTTACGATTGTGTTTCAGGGGCCTGTTCATCATTGATCCAAGCGGTGTGGTGAGGCACATGAGTGTGAACGACCTGCCGGTGGGCCGGTGTGTAGAAGAGACCCTTCGTTTGGTGAAGGCGTTCCAGTTCGTGGAGACCCACGGTGAAGTGTGTCCGGCCAGCTGGACTCCCAAGTCCCCGACGGTGAGTTCCTTCAACCTCTGATACCTTCTGTAAATCCCAGAGGTGCAACTCAAGTCCTAAAGTTTGAGTTTTGAGTCCTGAACAAGTCATAATGTGGTGCTCAGTAGAACCTTTCGAAGAGTATCGACTTGCTGGGAATGAATAACGTTAATATTAGTTGTTTTAGGAAAAGAAGGGAGACGCATTGATTCATGGCCCAGTTTTTAAATAACATACTTTTTAATCTTTGGGCTTGGGGGCAGGTATCAGGTATTTTCAATTAAAACGGCTCAAGTGAAGTTACGTGTCAATGGTGTTAAAAGGTGTCGAGATGAGCTTCGTCTCATCCGGAAAAAGTGGATAAGATCAGTTGGCAGCAGCTGGAGGAGTCGAGTGTGACATCCTTCAAAGAATATATAGGAAGTCACTGAACTATTTACATCCTGTTGATTAATCTGTATGATTAATCTGTAGGCTGCCTGTAGTTGGTGATCAGTGCAGGCCTGGCTCACTTCGAACAAACCCAATGTCCAAATTACAGAACCTTTTTTTGATTTTGTCGACTCCAAAATCATCAAATTTATGACTCGAGTCCACACGTCTGAATCCTCTTCAATCCACACACCCAGTTTATTTCTGTTGCAGACTTAATATGCTGCCCACTGTCCTTTTATTTTTTTGTTTAATTATTTACTAGCAGTGTTTGTGTGATCTGTAATCTGAAGAAACTGCTGCATGCTCTAAAATGTGCATTAGGTTCACCAGCCCCAGTGGAAACTAGATTTTAAAGTTCATTTTATGTAACTGTTTGCTTTTCAGATCAAACCAACCCCGGAGGGATCAAAGGAGTACTTTGAAAAAGTCAACTGAAGAAGACAAAGTTCACAAGTCAACTCTTACACCTAAAGCAGTGAATGCTACGATCTAAAAACCATTTATCACTCTTAGTTTACAGTTTATAGGTTGTATCTACTCGTAAACGCACCCTAATAAATATATTCTTTATAAATGACAGCTCTTTGTTTTGATTCATGTGATTGTAGTTCAGAGTTACCCCCCCTTGATACTCTGCATCGAACAGACTGAACTACTGTATAGTCCTGTGACTGCAGTACACATCTACAGTGCATTATCTAACAATTCAGTCCAAAAATATTTAATCACACTTAATAACCCCTGTACATAAACATGTTTATTTTCTCTTTTTACAGCAAGTTAATATGCAGGTTCAAAATGTCTAATCAGACATTGGTACACAACATGAGGTGCCAAAATCAACTTCAGTGGGGGAAGAACTGGAAATTAGAAAAAAAAAAAAGGCATTGCCACTTCTCATACAAGTAGGGTACATACTGTATTTACACAAAATGGGGAAAAAAGCAGTTGAAACACTCCGCAGCACTGTGTGTGGTTATGAAAACATCTAGTTTTAAGTGTACATAAACTTCACTTTGTACAGTATGTTTGCGGAAACAAAGCAATCGCCTCATTCCTTCCGACATTCACAAATGATGTTTCAGGTTAGGCAACAGAAAGGACGTGAGGGGAAATGGCTTACCAGAAGATGTAGAGCCTCTTAAAGCTTTAAATAATATATGAAATCAAAGTAAGAAGAGAGTCTGTAAGCAGGCCCACCGGTCATCATGTACCTTTACCCATTTTGAGACAGAGAAAAACAAAAAAAAAACAAACAACTGACAGCGCTGACTGAAGTGGAGTTTGATGAGCAGATGGTTTTGTGAAAACTTCATGCAATTTCAGGCAAGATGTAACAGCGCCACCAGCCCCATCCCAAGCACCAAACAAAGACAAAAAACCAAAACAAAATCTCTTTTTTTTTTTTTTTAACTGAACGATTCATTTAAAAAAAAACACCCTGTAGTAAATCTGTACAACGAAAATACATTTGGGATCTACATCTAAAGGTACATTATTAAGGTTATATACACTCCCCCCCATCCATATATTATCTTTACAAGTAGACTTCATTCAAACCCAAACATTAAGAAAACCCCGACTGAACGGGGAAATGGGATCACATCAAACATCCATTTAAAAATCTGTTCCTACTGTACCTCCACTGTTGATCAGTCCCTCTGTTCTCGTCTGTACAGTAAACTACAGCAGGACTAAAATCTCTCACCAACTGGATGGATTGCTACTGTAACAGGGAATTATGAATCGTCAAAATGGGGGAATGATTCTGGAGTGACGACAGCTTTCTTTTTAATATATATATATATATCTCATCTTTTTTTTTTGCTGTGGAAGTAAATCAGAAGAGACTACTGTACTTGTGTAGTAACGATATTTTGAGTGACTTCAAGAATACAAAATAGAAATCAAGTCAGAACACGGGCACAAACCCAACTCTCCAATATTCTGACACAATAGAACAAAGGCTTTCAATACACTTAGGCCTCTTCACTGAAGAGAGCTACACTATTCCATCAATAAACATTTATGTTCTCTGGTCTCAGGTGGGACTGGGTTGGAAAGGAGAAGCCATGTCAGCCTTAAACATTTGCCCCCAACGTTATTTGTTTGAAAGCAACTGATAAAAACAGAACCGTGTGTTTGATATCTCTTCCCGCAGATTTGCTCTTGTTCACTTTGAGTTGCGGCGTTGAAATTCTTTCAGAAAATGGAAAAACTACATTGTACAAAGTGAGATTCTCACAATCTCTTTGCAAGAAAGAAAAGTAATAAAGAATGACTTGTGCCCGCCGTCTTTCAGGATACACAGAGGCAAATCCTTTAATATCCCTGTGTTGCTGCTTCGCTGCTTAGTCAATTTTCACATTTGTGTAGATCTTTCTCACAAAGGCACTTGTTCCCATGTATCCGACGGCACCTGGAACAAACAAATGTGTTTCTTTTTACAGCGTTTCTGCAGGTTTCAACAGGTTAAATCTGAGACTTCAGACTATTATGAATGCAATTCAAGACCCATTTCACATCCATACTGGCAAAATAAAAAGGAAAATCTGTATTGGTTCTGTGTCGGATTAGTTGTTGCATGATCAATACACATTTCCCCCCCCCCAAGAACAATGAAAAGTAACCTTTTCATCATTTAATAATTTTTAAGACCTGTCAAAATCATATTTAAGCAATTTTAAGGCTTAAAATTCCAATTATTCGATTTTAGACTCTTTACAGACACCTTGTTTTAGGTGGCCTGCAACTGCAAGCATCACCCTCCAGGCCTACTTTTCCGGTAAATCAATCACAAGACAAAATGATTACAGGTAAAGGTATCCAATAAAGGTTTGAGCAACATCCAACAAACCCAGGAGGCACCATGAAGTGGCTAGTGCAGACTAGGGAGAGAGCGCTCCACAAAGGTGCTTTAAAAGTTGCCAGCCTTGGATTATTACTCTTCAAACTGAATAATGAGTTTGGCTCGCAGCTGGTGAGGAAAAGTCGATTTAACTGCACTTAAAGCTGAAGAACCGATGTGGAAAAAACGTGCAGGCTGCCCTAAAAAAAAAAATATAATCAAATAATGAAAGCAGCACGTAGGAGTGAACTTGTAACAGTCGTGTTTTAGACTTTGTGTCTAGCCCTGTTGCAGGAGTCATGTACAGTGTTACAGACCCTTTAATTATCATCCTTTTCCAGTTCGTTGAGAGGTGTTAAGGTGCAGGTCGCTGTCAAAAGGAACATCCTACATTGTATTCAACCTGCTGTGCGACATTCTGTTCTCACATCCTCTGACCACCTATCATCCAAACTGCTTTGGTTTAGCAGCACGTTGTCAAACCCTCTTTATCTTTGTCACTATGCGCTCTAAACGACACATCTGCATTATTCATAGTTACTAATGATTTGGATCCCTTACGAATACCAACGCTGCTACATTTTATATTTACATCTGCTGAGTTCTGGCAACAGGACTTGAAGCTCAGCGGTGTGAAACTCTTCGCTGACATTTTTGTGAATGAAGACTTATTTATGCCGATTCAAAATGGACGTGACCCTCCTCATAAACAGGCGGCATTCATCAGGCTGAAACAAATCATTTTTTTTACAACAAGTTCACGCAGTTAAGAGGGTTTGGCAACAAGTGAACCTCATACAAAAATGTTTAGGATAAGAATACGTCTTCACGTTGGGCGCAATCCTTTGGAAACGGCCCAAAAATTCAATTCAAAAGCTCTGCCCCTGAGCTAATTAATCACATTGTGATTGCCAAAACATCTTTTACATTAATTTGTCACTAAGACAAATGATGAAGTTGGGAGTATGTTCCAAATCTCTTGTATTGAGTTTTTAAACGAAATCTGAAGTTCATAAGAGATTAATTCTGTGATTATTATGCATCTTTAGTCCATGACAGTCCTACGGTATTTAAACAACGTGATGGAGGACTCACCACACATGATTCCTAGGGCAGTGCTGAACACAGCCATGTAGCCAAAGTAGAAGGATGTCTGGAAGAGTCCATACATCCTGAAATACAAAGAGGATAAAACATGTAAGATTTTCTTTTTCTTTTAACTGGATGAATTTAAAAATGTTTGCCGGTGTTTAAATGAAAAAAAAACTTACTTAGTTTTGAAGAAGTAGTAGTAAAAGGAGTACATGTAAACATAAACAGCAGTGGATGCAGCAGAGAGGAAGCTTGTCCATTGCCTAAAAGAGAAAAGACAAGCAGGAAATTAAAGTAACTGCTCCAACTGACTCCATCAGTAGTCACTTTTTGACTCATTACTGACATTTGAATCATTAATAATTTACTCAACTCCGCTCTTGTTTAGGTTCTGAGGCAAGAAAAACACGAGGTTTATAGCAAATATTCTCAAATATTAATATTTCACCACAAAACACGGTTACACTCACCATCTGTAGTCCTCAGCGTTGAGCAGAAAGTACGTACAGACGATGGTGACACACACGGTCACTATGCACAGGATGACCAGGACCAGCATCATGAAGCCGTACACATAGTAGATTTTGTAGGCCCAAAAAGATGTGAAGATGAAGTACCTAATAATAAATAAGGAAATAAAACATGTCACCTGCTGCAGACAACATCTCACCACCCCCCCCCAGTATTACAGCAGAGACTTACATTTCAATGAAAATGGACCCGAATGGAAGGATTCCTCCGAGGCAGACGATGACGGCCGGCTCCATGAACCTGAGAGATCACGAGATTCAACATAAGAATACAACGCCATATCCACATCCGATCCTCGCCCCCTCCAGGACGAGGATACATGACTTATTGTGTTATGAGAAGGAAAAAGGAAAAAGAAAAAGGAGCGCAACAAGTTGGAAATTCAACCAAATTCTGACAGTGGCCTGAAGTTACATCTACCATTTCCTGCTGGCGGCCGGCCACGGCGCTTGGCAGCAGGTTGTAAATGTTAGTGCACTCATAGTTTATTGCTTTGCTATTTTTCATTACCCAAAGAGTTTGGGCAGACAGCAAAATCATTTTCTTCCTCAGACCTGATGCCTAACACTTGAACACGGGCTCTACAACACTTAGAATTCATTTCAAGCATTAAGTACAACTTCCTGCTCTCTGCCCACTCAGTCATCACCCCCCCCAACCATAAATACACCGCATGACATAAAGTTTGAATGCACATCGTATGCTGCACAGCGGTACTGGGATGATTACTTAATCACCACACTTTGACATGTTGTGTGTATTCAACTGATTTATCTTGTAAAAATCCATCATTTTTTTCTCTTTTATATCTTTGTAAACTGAAAATGTTTGGATTGCAGATAAGGGTTAGACATTTTATCAACTAAGTAAACAAATGAACCAGTTCTACTTTACAGTGTGTGCAGAATATCTGCTGTTTTTGACATTTTGTTCCAACTCTCCAGTTGTCACCAAGGCAATTTCTTAAACATTTCCTGTACTCAGAGACTCCCAGCCACACCTACCATTTCTTCTCAGGGATCGGTCGCGGCACAGCGTTCACCCGGCAGGGGAAGTTTGGTTGGCCAGACAGATTTCTCCCCAGAATTGTCCCCACGAGGTTCAGCGGCAGGATGACAAAGAAGCAGATACAGCAGACGGCGACCTGCGGGAAACAAGAATTAATATTACAATATAATTGGGCGGACTGTGTTTACAGCCAACATCCAGGGTGTTTTCAGATCCTTTGACGTTGTTCCAGGAATGTTGGTGCAATGACATTTAATAAAATAATTAAATAATTTCAGGTGCTGGATTTCTTGATTCCATAATTTTCATAATTAATGCCCATAGCCTAAATTTAGAGCTACAAATGCCCCAAAAACACCAATGCTGATCAAAGCTAGGGTACATAATGTATTTCAGAAGAATTTGTTATATTTGTTGAAATTCTCTTTACATTCACACAGAAATAATATAATAAAAACAAATCTAGTATGTCACAGGCCTGTAATTAGACCGGCCAATCATTTCATTCAATGAAAGAAAAAGCCAAAAGAAACACACAAGTAAGTGTTAAAGGCTACAACAAAAACATTGGATGAAGCAACAGGTCAAACCAGAGTTGACAGTGATGTGGCTTTTTAACAGTTGTGGGAACTGAGGAACAGGTAATTATCTGGTTTGGTTTGTTGGGGGGGGGGTGTTATTTGTGGTATGTTGAAACTATGTATGAATGAGACATGAGGCTGTTGGACTTGATTAGGGAAGACAACAATGGGGCGGGAGGGAGCAGCTTTGGAGGGAGACCTGAGAAGGAGGGGATACTTTTTGGTTTACCTTCCCTGGCTTTAGATATATAGAATGTAGAGAAGCTCATAAATAAAATGAATGAAAACTAAAACTGCCCCAGATTTTCCAGCTCTGTTGAAATAATTTTGGGCTGATGGCTTTTTTTTCATGGTTTGGTTTTAAAGATGGTTACTTGACACTTATAATAAATCTCATGTTGAGCTGATGGACACAAAATAACTGGAGTGTTGTGTGGAGCCAAAAAAAAACAGCTGTTTGTAATTAAGCAACTGAGGAGGTTTTTTTTTCCCACTTACTGCAGCAACAGAATTTAAAAAAAACTGCGAAGGATTATGGGAACCAGTGTCATGTGGAATCTGTTATATACAATGTGATCTGTTTTTAATGTTCTTTAGATGAGGCAAAGGATCATTTTCTGTCCTAAACTATAGAAATACATTTTCAAGGACTCAAGGCAGTTTAAATATTTGTGACTGAATAATCGCCACACCTCCATGACTCTATTATGTCACTTCAATGGCAGTGTGTCTTCATAACTCTGTGGTTTTCAGGGAGATGCTGCTGTGTCAAACCTACCATGGTGCCAAATGGGATGGCTCTGGAGGCGTGGTAGTAGATAGCGATGAAGTTGATGAAGAAGGCAGTCCCGCACACCATGGCTGGGATCAGGAAGGCTCCAATGAACATTTGTTTAATCCATCTCCTGCCTGTATTATTCAACCAAATCAAGCGGCATAAAGTGAGGAATTTAAAAAGAGGAAGGGAAAGAGAGAATGTGATGCATGGACATTTTTTTATTACCTCCTTGTTTTGCGTACAAGCTTCCCCCGAAGTAGCCATTGACAGGGGAGGTGGCAGCGTACACAAAGATGGCTGTGCTCAGCATGGATCCTCTCCTGCAGAGAAAGATGATATGAAGTCCACAACTCCCTCAGTGTTTGAGCTTTATTCCTCTGCACTGACGTCTATTTATGTATTATTTTAAGCTACATTTGAATAGAGGGCTTGAACTGGACCAGACAAACACATGCAGATTACCTTTCACACACACACAATCACTTGTTTCCTTAGTAAAAGCATTACCTTCCTTCCTTTCCTCTAAGGGCCCATTCATTGTGTGGTTTTCCACAGTACACAACTAATACTTCTTAACTCAATTTAACTTCTGTTTTATCCAGACAGTAGTTTAAAATATGGATCTGATTATTGAACGTAGGTTTTGCTTTCAGCAATTTTACAAAACAAAAACCCCCAAATGTGTTTTTTCCTGATGGATTACAGATTTGTTTTAGATTTATTTATTTGACATCTCATATCTGAATGTTTCTCTAGGCAATATATTAACTGAGAGTATTTGATAAGAGATTCATCAAACTCTGAGCTTAACAAATCCTTGGAACGGGGTCCAGAAGGGAACCTGGTCTCTGACCCCAACCCCACAACTCACAACCGGGCATTTATCTGGCAGTTACTCACTCTGTGTACAGATCCTCAACCATAGCGACGATGATGACGATGAAGGATACAGAGAAGATCTGGCAGCCGGAGCCGATGAGCGAGGAGAAGATCAGTGGATGGCTTGACGGACGAAACACGTCACCGTGTACCTGCTTCCACCCGTACTCGTCTCCCAGGTCTCTGTCCTGATGGTACACAGCATCAAAATGCTAAATGAGAGGTAATTAAAAAAAAAAAAAAAAAAAGTTCTTGCAAACCATAAAGTCAAAACTAACATCCTGCACATCATTGTTATGTAAAAAGTAGGAACAAGATATTCACTATAACCCATAAAACAATGTTTTTCTCAATTTTATTTCACATACAGAACACAACTCAGCAAACTGCCGAGTCAACACAAACGTACCATGTCGTCCATTTCCTCCTCTTTGCTATATCTTGCGTAATCCTTTCTTAGCGTTCTCATCAGAATCATGGACACCAGACCCACCAGGAAAATGACCATCATGAAGGAGTTGAAGATGGAGAACCAGTGAATCTAAAAAAAAAAGAAGTATCCACGTTATAAAGCTTATTACATCTATATAGAATACATTAAAAAAATAAACTGTGTAGTTGTGTTTGAGTGTTTTCAGTACAAACTTGCTGAATGCATCACTCAGGATATTTCAAGGTAAATCACACAAACACTCATTTGTAAAATCCCTGAGCTTCACTCTACAAGTCAAGGCAGGAGACAAACCTTCTCCCCCACCGGCTGTAGCAGCTGGTGGATTGCAGACTTCTGACTCTTAAAATCAGCCAAACTTCCTTTTAGAAAGAGCACAGCTGGATTCCTGCCACAATGCAGGAGTTTAAGAGTCAGCCAAAAGTTACCAGGCTGGTCATTTACACCGTACCTGCTACAGTACGAGGCTCGGCTCGTACCCTTTGAAAGGCAACACGCACGTGTGCTGTTACGACAAGCCACCGGCATTCTTGGCCTGAATGATGACGCACAGATCTCTGAAAACCAAACGTATAATATTCAACTCACCCTGTGCTGAAAGAAGGATGGGTCGAGGTACTTGTCGAATCTGTCCTCAAACTTCACATCCGACTTCTTCCATTTCACCTGTGATAGGAAAGGTTTATTTAAGCTGTGTGGAGCAGGAGGAGACTAGGACCAAGCAGTAAAGCTGCAGCTGCAAAACCAGCTTTGTTTGTTGTGCTTTGACCCATCGTAATAGAGTTTATGTTAGATACAGAATACAGGAAGAAATACAGTAGTATGAAAATGATCTCTGCTTTATATGGGGTCATTGCTGTTGTAAAGTCGTATGTAAAAACAGCCTTTTCATATGTCAGCGGACTAATTTTCCTAATCCTCACGGGTCTTTAGACCGTGGTGGAAACGCAGACAACAGGCTGAAGGTTTCAGGTACTTTGAATGGAAATGTGGCTTTATGTTTATGTATTAACATGTTTAGATAACCTGAGCCCAATCACATTTATACAGACACATACTGCAGACATACAATGAGTGCACTCACAGAATAAGACATTGCGATTCTTGTGTTGGGCACAAGTCTGACTTTGCCTTCACTGGTCAGATTTACATCGACAATTCTGTTGCCGTTGAAGCCGATCTCCAGTTTCTTGTACGTCCACAGGTAGTGATCTTCTCCGTTTTCATCTGCCTCACCGACGATACCTTAAAAAGAAATTGTTGTGCATTGATTTAGAGATCTGGTCTTTACAGAAATGGTCAAGCGGGCAGGTGTAAACAAACACTGAGCCTTCGGTTATATAACATTAATAATCAGGGAGTGTAAATGCCAAATAAAAAGGTCACTTGCTTCATTGCTTGTTAACTTTGTAACGGCATAATCTGTATTCATCTGTTACATTCAGTCTTTAGGCTTCAGCTGTTATCAACGTTTGTCCCTGCGGGCCACCGTAAATAATCTCTTACTCTGTACAAATCAGCTTTGAATCAACTCTTAACTGGCTGCCCCGTTATTCCAGCTCTGCATGTTTAGGTTCCAGTTGACCAACCTCAGGCAGGTGTGCTGGATCTAATAAAGGCACTGTAGTAAGTGGAGCCTCAACTGTACTCAACTCTGCTGTTCTGTGAACAACCTCAACCAAACATGATAACCGCGCTGGTTCAGTTACAACGCTGGCAAACCCGGATGCGGGGTCAAAGTCTATTTATTGTGCTTAAGGCATGAGTATGTAACATACAACATGGAGAATTGTCTAAGTAAATGAAGCCAAGCCAGCGCCTCGCCCACATCCTACAACATCAGCTAAAGTAGTGGGAGTAGTTTGAGCAACTATAGGAGTGGCACCATTGTACAAACTACCACGTATGTGACAGATCACAAGACAACTCCTTAGAGTGACAGCAATTAATATGCTCAGCACAGGAGCAACAATGGAGGAACTTGATGTTAAACGTTTCCACATGTGAATGTACCAATACTGTAAGTCACAATACCAATGCTCTACAATGTGCATCACAATCACATTTAAAAGTAACTCTTAACGTCCCACAACGTTAATCAACCATTGTTCGACAGATTCTGAACAAAAAACATGCTGAATTATTTCATCCACCACACGTACTGACTTGAATGCTTTTTAATAAGCCATCTGATACATGGTTGTGTGTACTGTTACTCCGCTAGTGGGTTGGCCAAGAATGAATGGCCAGTCCCACCCATGAATAAGAACTGGTTTAACTTCTCCAATATCAAGATAACCACACTGACAGGATGTCACTGCAGACCTTCATACGTGAAGCCATTGAGCAAAATAAGCGACTCAAAACTGAGAACGAGAAAGATGACGCCGATAGACCAAGTCAGAAAACAATAAAAAGGAACTGATGTATCACTTACCCCAGATTGGCAGGTCGTCTATGTACATTTGGTACCAGTAGTGATTCTTTATGGCATAGACAAAGGCATCCCGTTTGGCTTTGTCCAGGTCAATTTCACAGTACGTTGTCTGCATGACTTCATCTACAGTGGATCATAAATACAGCATCATTTATGTGAGATACAGGGAAAGGAAGCGATCGGCTCGTATGTGCTCAACAGGTGAAAGTCGCTGTAACAGTAGAGTACCTTTGAACTTTATGTCTAGGCCGCTGAATTCAAGCTCCACTCCCTGCAGAGCCTCTCCGAGTGTTTCGTGGTAATGACTGATGGTCTTCTTGGAGCCCGCGCAGAAGGGCAAAGAGAAGTACTTGTACGTCTCCTGTCGGTTGTGGTAAGGCCCCACTGTGTTCATCCATAAAACTACCTCCTCCTTATCTGTGTACTGCAAAGGGAAAAGAGCAAGGACTCTTATTGTGAAGTCCAGAAATGCTACACGACCAGTTCAATATTCTAGGTATTTGTTACTCTAACTTTTATCCAAATATGCCAGACACAACGCTGGAAGGAAAACTAAAAAAAAAAAAAGGAGTTTCTTGACATGATCAGTCAGTGACAGATCTGACAATCCCCTTATTTGCTTAAGTTACGCATTCTGGGTATTTATCCAAGCGATTTTACTGCTAAGAAGAATGACCGTGCATTAATAGACTCGTGTCTCTTACAAGATAAAGGAGCAATAGCTAAAGGCTGGCTAATATTATTATTAAGTGTCACAATGGAAAAAAAAACTCTATTAGTAAAGGAAAGCTGAGAGTTTTAAACATCTGGAGGAACTTAATGGAGTTCCTGACACAAAATGTTAATGATAATAAAGTGCATTTTATTACAATATCATCCATGTATTCACCTTTGTTTTAAGTCGTTTTTATGTGCCTTTTAATTTAATGATTCACTGTTTATGCAGCCAAAGCTGTCTATTATTTTTTGATTTATTAACATGCAATGGCTCCCCCTAATAAAAAACATTATTTATCATATTATAACTTTTAATAAAAGCCAGCCACTAGCATTAAAAACCAGCACCACAGCTGCAGATGCGTTAGATTCAGACAGCAGCGGGTGGGTGTAAAAAAAAAAAAAAAAAAAAGATAACACACTTTAAAGTAACCTTATAATTGTCTGAATTCAAATGCATGCAAACATAAAGACAATGTGCCTCTTATCGCTGCGTCAGTGTCACATTATAGAAAGTCCATATATCAGCTCATTATGTTTGCTGACAAGTCGAAGAAGTTACATCCGTTTCCCCACTAACCCAACAGTCTCCACGCATGAAAACACCTGGATTATATGCGGGAAGAGGGTCTTATTAACTTATTAATCTGCTGTAATTAAAAAAAAGGTGTCACACACACACACACGAGAGAGAGAGAGAGAGGCCCTCCCGTTTTAAAACCGGTGTTTAATGGTAACAGCTGCAGATAAAAACACCAAGAAACCGTGTTTTTTTTTTTTTTTTTTAAATCATTAATTTGAGGCCTTAAAAGCTTTAACACACTCACAAAGCAACGTAGCTTTCTTAGTCTAATAAATTAAACTAACCAACCAACCAAGTAGCCTAACTCTCTCTCTCTCTCTCTCTGTGTGTGTGTGTGTGTGTGTGTGTGAGGAAGACGTGCTAACGAGCTAGCGAAGACAACCGACAGCCATAAGCACTTAGGCCGATAAGTGGCGGTCAGTTAGCCGACTAACTGACCGCCAATATGTATCGATAGCTCTCCCTCCTATCGATACATAGACACACCAGGCCGAGCAGTGGACTCAAACCCGCGTCTGCGACTCATTTAATTCCCTTTTACAGGCGAGCTAGCCGTCGCAGCTACCGCTAGCAGGTTACACAGAGCACCATTATTTCCAAGCCTCCCCCCCCTTTCTCTCTCTCTCTCTCTCTCTCCCTCTCTCTCTCTCTTTTATCGGCCTCTCACCGTGTGTTCGTGCTCGTCTGCGTCGACAGGTAATAAAAAGCCCACTATGGTGAGACAGGCCGCTGCTGCTGCTGCCACCCTCCACCTGGAAGATCCCATCATCGTCGGGTCGGAGTGAGCGGAGAGTCTGGGGCTGTTAGCTTCGCGGGGCTATCCCACCTTCTTCCTGGTTGTATGACAGAGGCAGTTTTTTTTTTTTTTTTTAGGGATGCTGTCGCTCGTACGCATGTGGCGTAAAAAAAGCGCTCCGCGGCCGGTTCACCGCACGCACGCCGGATTGGTCGAGGCGGAGTCACGTGGCGCCGTGCGGCCAATCGCGGCGCGGGAGCGGTGGATCGCGGCGGTGAGTTAAGGAACGCTGTCGGCGCATCGTCCGCAACCTTCAGCCACGTCATCCGACTGCCAAGAGCTTCTGCATGAAACATGACCCCTCCCGCACACAACAAACAGGTCTATTCACCGTCTGATGAGGCCTCCTATTGGGCCTGAAGTTGTTAAAAGGTATATCTCAGCTTTAGTGCATTGACAGTGCAGTTTAAATCATCCACAACGAGCTCAAGCTTACAGTAACTCTGTTGTTTGGGTTGTAATTCCAGTGTGGATAACCTAGACCCATTTTCTGTCATTGAGTAAACCCCCTGACTAAGTGACATATTTTATGGATATTTTATATTATTTTAAAAAACTGTACAGTTAACCCTGAACTGCAAGAAGCTTGTGTAAAATTGATTTGATTTAGATGTTTTTTTAAGGAGATAATTTCCTGTTTAGGGAACTTTTTAAAGAATTATCTGTCTGTATTATCATTTTTAACATTCATACATACTTAATAGGCTTCTTGTCCCTGATTCTTGTTAATTGTTCTATTAGACAATTTACTTTAATTTCTTCACAGAAGTGAACCAATTGCTGAGATATAACCCTACTGTGTATATTTGAATTTAGTTTTCTTACACGCCTTAAAATCAAGAAGGCCTCGCAAACACCCCCCATGAAGCTTTGGCGACCCTCTGTGGGGGTCCTGACCCGCAGGTTGGGACCCACTGACCTTATACCATAGGTTAAGACCTTCGATTTATAAATCCAATTAATAGATGGATTATTGAGAACATAAATTACATCTATCTTCAGTTTTTAAGTTATTAATAAAGTTGGTTATACTTCTTTTATCAGAACCACAAAGGCCATTTATATTAAAAGACTATGCTCCATCTACAACAGTATTGTTGAGATCATTAACTTTAATTGAAAATACTTGATGAAATGCATTGCAAAAAGTTAAAGTATCTAAGTATTAAAAGCAAAATTTACTAAAAGAATTCAAGATAAAAGTACCTGTCAATGTTTTACTATTATATATGCTGCATTTTTACTGCTGTATTTGTTTAAGGTTGAGTTAATGTTCACTACTTTATATATTATAGAATATACAGCAATGCGTCATATTCTATAAGATCGTATGTCTGAGTGAACAATATTAAATTACCACATTTTGTGGTGTTTCCTGGACTGGAAGGATGTGAAAATATTAATCTAGTAGTTAAACTAGTAGTTAAAGCTGTCAGACACCCATAGTGGTGTAAATATTATAATATTGGCCTCTGAGATTATCTACTTTTCATGTAAAAAGTCCCTTGAATTTGTACTTAAGTACTTTGAGTAAATGTACTTAATTACATTCCACCACTGCTTCCAAGATACCACTCTGCAAACGTGGGACAATAGTGTCCAGATTGGGTATTTACGTGTGCCTTTTAGCCTTAAAAATGCTATTTAACATCCACAAAATATAACTGAGTTTGAAATTCTAATAAGATTTGAATTACTTTGTATAAATGTGTATCAGTACAAAATAAGTGGGAAGGTCCTGATGAAAGGTGCATTATTATGGTTATTTATTGGCTTTAATTTGTAGTGAAACTGTGCATAATAGGCTGCACTAAACTATGTATTACAATTTGCAGAGTAGACCTGGTTCAATAAGGAATGTTAATTAAGACTTTGTAGTAAAAAAAAAAAACAGTATATTCAATTTACAGTCACTATGAATGTTCCTGACATTGAGAGAAATTACCTCAAGTGAGCAGAACATATTTCCATTTGAAAGGAAACACAGCTTTGTGGATATTTTACAAAATCACAAGGACATTTTCAATGTAAGCGTGTGTGTTTAGTCACTACAGGTTTCCTCATAAATCTTCCCTCTATGTTTTTAAAGAACCCTTATGGTTGAACAGATTGTTCAAGGCAACGTTAAATAGTGCTACATGTACCTGAATTAATCCAAACCAATTCATTGTGAATTCATGAGAGGTTAAAGCTGTGAATTCTGCAATCTCTTCCTTATAGAGACCAATACATTAATATGTGTTTTCTTGTTTTAAAAATGTAAACACCAACACAGGTTGACAGTAATAACATTTATTGTATTTAAACTGCAATGACATTTGTACTGAGAACTGATGTACGATATAATCTGTGGTTGAACTCAAAGAAATCAGAATCTGTTTTTGTTTTTTTCTAAGAATCACACTTGCGATAACAAGGTCAAACAACAGACATTTCCCAGCTGTTCTCCTCGTATTATTCTGAAATGTCACTGACACCAAGACATTTTAAGCCTTGGATTACCAAACTCATTATTCAGTATTATAGACGCGCATTATCACCACACAACAATGCCCAGTAGAGGGCACCTACTGCAACAATGGCTCATCCAAATTGCATTTCCATTGGGAATTCCAAGCTCTAACTTTAATATCAGTTTTACCTGAACAATTTTAACATTCATTCTTAAACTAACACACATTTCTGATTCATAAAAATCACATATTTTAAACAAGTCACATATTTATGCAACCCACGCACACATAAAGGCAAAATATTGTGAATGTGATCGATTGAAATCTCAATCTCTCAGACCTGGTCGGGGTTTTTCTGCTTCAGTCGTCTTTCCAACGTTACAACGACCGCACAAACTTCCTGCAGAGAAGACGTGATGAGATATTTATGTTGTAGAAATAGAACAGATCATTTAACAGACACAGCTTTGCAGAATACAATCAGTTTAAGCATAATCAGTGAAAGGTTGTCTCACTTTAGGATGTCAGGCAGACGGGGGTCTCTATACAGGCCGTTGTGCAGGTACCCCAGAGAGCCCTCAAACGACACCAGCTTTACTCGCTCTGCATTCTGGGCATTCGCTGCTACCTCATACATCTTGGGAGAGAAAGGCAGAGAAAGTTCAGTCTACCTTAAACAGCAACGTTATCCTAGAGAAGACACTTAATCAGTTATGCCACCTCAGTTGGGACTGTAGCTTACTGTGCCAGTAATACCTGCTGAGCAATGTGAATGGGAACCAAGTGATCATCCTCAGAATGAAGGAAAAGGATTGGGCTTCTCATTTTCTTCAGACTGCAGGAGGACAAAAACACATATCAGGTTATTGCATTTGATCGGTAATAATAATATGAAAAGCATTTAATATTGACTGTTGTGTTTCAGGAAGACATACTTTTCTTCAGTAGGAAAGACGGCTTTGTTTTCTGCCCATGGCTCTTGGAAAAAGTACCCAAAGCCCGGAAATGTCCAGTAATACTTTAAAACAGAAAGAAAATAAAACATTGCGAGGTTGTGCGTAAGTGTAGCAGCAGCCGTGTGAAACGAATAAACCGAATATCACAAGTGGCACGTTTACCCAAGCGAAAGGATTACCAGGCATCTTTTGTCGAGCACTGTTGAACGCGCCCTCCAGGATCACACCATCAAAGAGCACACCTGAAAGGAAAACGAAATAATCATTGAGATGTTTGATTTATTTCCTCTGGAAAAAATTCACCGGTAGCAAAAACCTACCTTGTTCAGTCAGTTTTACTGCTATGTTAGTGGCCACTCTGCACAGAGATAGGAACAGCTTCAGTTTCTCCATTCAGTGCACAGTCTGAACTTACTCCTGACGGTGGCAGGTTTATTTAAACATTTCAACATATTTTACTGATTACTGTCAAATAATGTATTATGTAAGCAGAACGTAGCTAAATACAACTATTTAAATACCTCTAGATATAAGTTACAGTACCAGTTTCTACTATTTCTTCTTGTGGCATTTTCTATAATATGTTTTCCTACATATCCCTGAATTTGTGTCTTATTGCTACATATGACTGTATTGAGATCTGTCTACAGTTTGTATCAGTAGTTTGCTCTTAACAGTCTTTTGTTGCTATGATTCTTTGTTGTTTTACACTCCACTGATTTCCTTTTGATACATTTTGTGTTTTTGTGAGTGAAGCTCTTCTTTTCATCTGTTCAGCCATTACAACCATCACTTGTACTTGTAATACTTGTGCTAAGTATTATATCAATTAGACATAAATAGCAAAAGGGTCATTAAGGTGTAAATGCTGCAGGCTATTAATGCACATCCAAAACAATTATTACAAGTGTGTACTTGAGTAAAATGATGTATATATTTGGGGGGTGGAGTTTACAGACCCAGTGCCAAGAGAGTGTCCCCAGATGACGACCAGGCTGTTTCCACTGCGTGCTTTGACCCAGTTGTACAAGTAGAGGGCATCAGTAGTCAGACCGGCTTCAGTCGGTTCCCCGGTGGAATCTCCAAACCCTGCCAGAGTTTCTCAGATCAGCTAATGCTCGCTGACGCACCACAGAGCCACTCTTCACTGCCACCAGGTGGCAGCCACTCAGAGGGAAACTGCACTAGGCGCTGACCTAAACTTGAACCGCTTTTCTTTTGACTGCCTTACAACAAACAACTCATCAAGCACAACTGAAAACTCTACGGTAATCATATGGCTGAAAATTATATTAAATCAATGTCAGAGGGTTGTGTATTATAATCAATAAGAAGGTAGAAGCACAGAGATGGAAAATATGTTTAGAAGAAGAGTCATAAATCTTAATTTGCACCAACCTCTGTAGTCAAGCACCAGTGCGTGGTAACCAAGTGCACTCAATACCTGTTGACACATGATGCTTATTTGTCATCAGAATGGCTACTGAGACTTTCATGCCTTTATTAGATCTCCAAAAGATTAATATGTTTGTGTTGGTGATCACTCACTTTTGCCACTCCGACCCGATGAGTGGCTGCCCTGTAGGAATGATTCACAAACAACATGTGCCAATAAATTGGTGTTTTCCAAAAAAAAAAAAAAAAAGCCCCAAACAAATATG